GACAAAGACAAGGGAGACTGGAGTGGCCATTTGTGGCTCATTGGCCGTGGTTAGCCAGTCAAACGCAACTCCGAGGGCGTGTAATACCTGGGGCTCGATCTTGCAAACTGTTGGTTAGAAATCTAACCTCCTAACTGCTGAACCACGGGCTCGTGTTCTGTCGGTTTTTATCGAGTATGGCCAGCTGACAGCGGCTAATAAGCCCGAAATAGCCATGTCGGCCTCCCTCGTCTTCGTCGGTAGTGTCATTCTGCCTATATTGCGCATCACTATGCGGCTGATGTCAGGACCCGAGAGAGAGCCCCAAGGAACAAGGGGATGAGTGCGCGCCTCTATCGTTATTCTAGTTTCGCCTGACTACTGGGATAGGTCGGCAAAGCTCATTTCCATGTGACATATAGCTTATTGCTTCGCTTACGTTCACACCAGTCTGCTGAGTTCAAGCTGACGTTCTGTAAAAGGTAATAATTGATTTTTGAAAGGGGTCCCGAACTGGTAGGGTACTGAAGAGATTTGGCGTGTCTCATTGGCTAAACATTATTCATTAGAATGGCGTTACCGACAAAGACAAGGGAGACTGGAATGGCCATTTCTGGCTTATTGGCCGTCGTCAGCCAGTCATCTCCAACCCCGAGATGTGGAACACCTGGGGCTCGAACTCGCGACCTGTTGGTTAGAAGTTCACGCCTCTAACCAGTGGACCACGAGCCCATTGCCCTGTCGGTTTCCATCGGGAATATACAATGGTAGAGGGACGTTCACCGATCGTTCTTACGGAACTCACTTGTTCCGTGGTGTCCCACCACCATTGTATATTCACAATCAAAACCGACAGAACAACGGGCCCGTGGCCCAGTAGTGAGAGGCGTTGGACTTCTAACTAACTAGGTCGCGAGTTCGAGCCCCAGGTGTTCCACACTTCGGGGTTGTGTATGACTAACTGACGACGGCTAATAAGCCTGAAATGGCCATTCCAGTCTCCCTTGTCTTTGTCAGTAATGCCATTCTGCCTAACTTATGCGCCGCTGTGCGGCTGCTGGTTGGTCTCGAGAGATAGAGCCCGTAAGGCACAACGAAACGAGTGAGTTCCGTAAGAACGATCGGTGCGCGCCCCTCCACCACATTATTAATTTCTATTCGCTATGTTTCCACCTCTGCCATCCATGGACCTC